AAACTCTCATCCGCTGATCTCACTGGCGCGACCTTCACAGTCAGCAACATTGGTAGCATAGGCGGCGGTGCTGTGGCACCTGTCATCGTTGGACCTCAAGTTGGTATTTTGGGTATCGGTAAAGCGAGAGTGGTGCCGGCCTTTGGGGAGAACGATGAGCTGATCAAGAGGGAGGAGTGTGTGTTTAGCTGGAGTGCTGATCATAGGGTTGTGGATGGCGCATATGTAGCGAGGGCGGCGGAGGAGGTGAGGAAGTGCTTGGAGGGCGTTGAGGCGATGCTTGTTAGGATGCGGTAGGGGTGAGAAATAGATGCATGGTAAAAGCGAAATAAACACTTTACTTCTTACTTCCGCGACTATCGTCGCTCATTTCGTGGTGTAACTGGTCGTCAACGGTTCTAGTGGGTTGTGTATTATCAATATCGTATTGAATTTGTGGCTGTGTTACTACCAACTTCCTGCTATCATTTGTAAACTAGAAGCTGGTGTTCGTCATTGCCTTTGCAGAACTCGGTGGCAAGAGCAAACATCTGGGTTGACTCTTTCTAGTCTTCCTAACCCCTCATTCCGATTTTTCGAATCGATCTCATGACTATGACGGAACACCGACAGCACACTCAAGCCGCGCCCTTCAGCACCTGCTCAAGGCTGTTCTTGCTGTTCGTATACGTCTTCTCAAGGTAATCCTCCTTCTTATCCAGATTGGACATCTCCTTGTTCAACGCCTCACTCTCCTCCTGAAGCCTCTTTTGCACATCTGGAATAGGCGTGCAGACGAACCTGTTCATAGCAATCAGTCTCTGCATTTCATCTCATCCCACTTCCTCCCCCGCAGTCGCGAGGGGCAAATATCGAGACATGCAACTTACATCTTGCCCACACCCTCGTACACCTTTGTCTCTGCAGGCAGCGACGAGACTTCCGAGGAAGTGAGTTGCAGCATACGCCCCTCTCGCGTCCGGGCGGCTTTCTGTTGTTTGACAATGACGAGTTGTTGTTCGGCGAAGGCCTTCTTTTGGCTGATTTCTTGTAGGACCTGGGTGTTTGCCGCGTTAGATCCTAGCTCTTTCCTCTCATCAGTCACGGAACTTTATGACGCACCTTCTGCAAGGCCTCGTTTGACATGGACATGGTGGGCGGAGATTTGGTAAAGTTGACAATTGGCTCGTAGGTCTCGTGAGAGCGCTGCTTCTCAAGCTTTCTCGGTTCGGCAGTTGCGAGAGACCCTGGGCGGATGTGATTGGCTGTTTGGATTCACACCGAAAACTGCACCGCGAGCTTGCAGCCTCGTCAGCTCGGGAGCCAAGCGTTCCGACGTGTGCGGAAGGTATACGTCGGTGGCAGGAATGTGTACTGGGGGCGATTCCTTTCGCGCAGTAATCCTTACTGTTTGCCCACGTGTGGCGTGGTAGTCTGGCAGCCTATCGTTGGAGCATGGGCCTCTCGTGTCGCGGATTGTCGCTCTCCAGTCTTTCCTTCCGCAAAAGCCGGTGCTAGATACAAGCTTGATAGCGAAGTCAAACACCTGCAGTTTCTCTTTCCTCAACCTCTCACTTCTTTCTTTTTCTCTTTTCGGGATTTTCGTAGAGTGAAGATGGCCGCGTTCTTTTCCCGTCTGCCGTCGATACCGTACCCGCCTGAACAAGATGGGTTCTTCTCTCCGGTCACCTCTACGCTCGATTGGTGTGAAGAGGTTAGTTGGGAGGGTCATTGCGTTGAAGATGCGCATGCTAACCGTTTGAAGAATTATGTAGTCACGCAGTACTCTGCGGAGATTATCAACACGCTCACGAATCTGCTGTTCATGTACCTCGCTGCAAAAGGCATACGCAATTGCTTGAAGAATGGACACGATACAGTGTTTCTCGTGGCGTTTATTGGCTATCTACTCGTTGGAACTGGGAGTTTTCTCTTTCACGCGACATTGAAATGTATGTTCGCTGTTGATTTAAATGTTGACATGCAGTACCTGATCCATATTAGATCCTATGCAGCTGGTAGACGAGCTTTCGATGATCTACACGACTTGCTTGATGAACTTTGCGACGTTCTCTTATGGCAAGTCAAGGCTGTACTCTACGGTTCTTGCAATTGGACTTGTGTCCCTTGCCGCCTTCATCACACTCTACTACCACTTCGTCCAGGACCCCACCTTCCATCAGAACGCCTATGCGATTCTCACAGCGATTGTCCTGTTCCGCGCCATGTATGTAATGGAGGTGAACATCCGCCCGCGGTTCAAGTCCAAGGAGAGGGAAGCAGCGAACCCGCGGCCGCACGGAGGTGTAAAGGCGGTACAAGAGAAAGAAGACGTGCGCGACCAGGAAATTCTCAGTAAGATGTGGCAGATGATTGCATTTGGCCTCAGCATCTTCCTGGGGGGCTTTGCTGTCTGGCACCTCGACAACGTGCATTGCTCGCAGTTGATTCAGTGGCGGAGGGAGATTGGTATGCCCTGGGGTTTCGTGCTCGAGGGTCATGGCTGGTGGTGAGTATTGCATTCATCTTAGGAAGACGAAAGCTCACAAAAGCAGGCATCTCATGACGGGAACTGGAGCTTACTACTACATTGTATGGGGCGTATGGCTGCGACACTGCCTCAACTACAGGCAGGACGAGTATGAGCTCTACTGGCCCAACTTCTGGACGATGCCGCAGGTTGTCAAGCGACAGGCTGGTGGTCATGCAAATGGCTCAACGAAGAAGGAGCTATAGGCGGTGACGACGTGGAGTCTTGGGCAGGATTAGGTTCGCGTGTCAGGGAGGATTTATGCATGTGCTTTGCAAGATCAGCGTTGTGCGGTGTTCCGCGCTGCGAACGACGATGCGGATAGGCGAATTTGATAGGAGATGGGATGGGAACAACAAGTCCGCAACCGCCTCCAGTAGCACGTCTATCACGACATGAAACCAGCCAGTAATACAGGATACTGCAAAGCGACGAAGCCATTCGACAGCAGCGACTTGTGCCTTGCTAGTGCAGCTGTACATGTTCATGACTAGCCCCTTCAGCCGGCAGGCACCAGCTTTGGCGCGTTGTTAGTAAATAGCTCTAGCGCCGACGGCCCGTGCAGACGACCCACAGAGATCTTTAACGCACTCACCGCTTCTGCTCCTCCTGCTCTCCACACCAGCACCACCACCAGCGACCAGCCATAACCCAGCTCCTCGCATCTTCACCTCTCCAGCTTCCATATTCCTCGCCCCCAACCGCCAACATGCGTGAGATTGTACGTATCGCCCGCACTGCCGCCTAGTCGTGGCGCGTCGCTGCCCCGCGCCGAGACTCAGGGACAACACAAAGAACAACAGCTAACGACGTTTCTCTGCCACAGGTTCACCTTCAGACCGGTCAATGCGTAAGTTTTGATATCGCTCCTCTGTGTACAGACGACAGCTAACAATCTCCAGGGTAACCAAATCGGTGCCGCCTTCTGGCAGACCATCTCCGGCGAGCATGGCCTCGACGGCTCCGGTGTCTACAACGGCACCTCGGACCTGCAGCTCGAGCGCATGAATGTCTACTTCAACGAAGTGCGTCCCTCGATTACGCTTTTGGCAGATAAAAGACCAATACTGATCTACAGCAGGCGTCCAACAACAAGTTCGTGCCCCGTGCCGTCCTCGTTGACCTCGAGCCCGGTACCATGGACGCCGTCCGCGCCGGCCCCTTCGGCCAGCTGTTCCGCCCCGACAACTTCGTCTTCGGCCAGTCTGGTGCTGGTAACAACTGGGCAAAGGGTCACTACACCGAGGGTGCCGAGCTCGTCGACCAGGTCCTCGACGTCGTGCGCCGCGAGGCCGAGGGCTGCGACTGCCTCCAGGGTTTCCAGATCACCCACTCCCTCGGAGGTGGTACTGGTGCCGGTATGGGCACGCTCCTCATCTCCAAGATCCGTGAGGAGTTCCCCGACCGCATGATGGCCACCTACTCCGTCGTGCCCTCCCCCAAGGTCTCCGACACCGTTGTCGAGCCCTACAACGCCACACTCTCCATCCACCAGCTGGTTGAGAACTCCGACGAGACCTTCTGCATTGACAACGAGGCTCTCTACGACATCTGCATGCGCACCCTCAAGCTGAACAACCCCTCGTACGGCGACCTGAACCACCTCGTCTCCGCCGTCATGTCGGGTGTCACCACCTGCCTGCGTTTCCCTGGTCAGCTCAACTCTGACCTGAGGAAGTTGGCCGTCAACATGGTTCCCTTCCCCCGTCTCCACTTCTTCATGGTCGGATTCGCTCCCCTCACCAGCCGCGGCGCGCACTCCTTCCGCGCCGTCACCGTTCCCGAGCTCACCCAGCAGATGTTCGACCCCAAGAACATGATGGCTGCGTCCGACTTCCGCAACGGTCGCTACCTGACCTGCTCCGCCTACTTCCGTGGTAAGGTCTCCATGAAGGAGGTCGAGGACCAGATGCGCAACGTCCAGAACAAGAACTCCTCCTACTTCGTTGAGTGGATCCCCAACAACGTCCAGACCGCCCTCTGCTCCATCCCTCCCCGCGGCCTCAAGATGTCCTCCACCTTCGTCGGTAACTCGACCTCCATCCAGGAGCTGTTCAAGCGTGTCGGTGACCAGTTCACTGCCATGTTCAGGCGCAAGGCTTTCTTGCATTGGTACACTGGTGAGGGTATGGACGAGATGGAGTTCACCGAGGCTGAGTCCAACATGAACGACTTGGTCTCCGAGTACCAGCAATACCAGGAGGCTTCCGTCTCCGAGGGTGAGGACGAGTACGACGAGGAGGCTCCTCTCGAGGCTGAGGAGTAAGCTGGTCATGGCTGACGTCCCGCTGGACTTGGTTGTTGGAATATTTCACGTGTGGACATGAGCGTTGTAATTCGATTCGTACTTTGAGCGACCTGGCTGTGATCAGACATGTTGCGAAAGTGACTAGACAGACATGACAGGCGCCTCAGCTTCTTGTTAGCGAAAAGATGCTATAATCAGATATTGTCCACTCAACAGTGTATCGTGTGTACTATTTATGTCCTACTAATCTCCTTCGCCATGTTCTCTCAGGTGTTCCAGGTAACCTACGAGCCTCTTCTTGATAATCACACCCACCAGTTGTCCAGTGCCCTCTTTGGTCACCATAAGATATCTCAGACCCAACTTGGAGAACACCTCGACAGCATATTCCAGAGGCGCTTTCGCGCAGATGCTCAATGGTGTCCGATCCACAAATGGCGTCAAATCCATCTCCAAGCTCATGGGACTCGCCGGCTCATCGATCTCCTGGCCTAGCAACCTGACCTGAACATCGTCTTCCTGCGTCGACACAAGCACACCAGGAACGAGGTTCGTCAATCCAAATTCAAGCTCCGACTGCGATATATACCCTTGGAGCACTTCAATCCCACCATGATTCTTCTGCACGAGTACAAGACCCGCGTCCATGAGACCCCTTTCTCTCAACGCATCCAGCTTCTCTTTCAACAGAGTCAAAGGTACTTTGTTGCTTGTAGGTACGTGAACGGTTATGTCAGCCATGGTGCGCTGAGGAGGGATCAGGACCTCGACGCAGGCTTTGTGGCTGCGGACGATGGAGAGAGCGGTGTCTGGGTCGAGGAAAGGGTGGGAGAGTAGGGATTGAGCGAGGTCGTAGACGCCTTCCGAGGAGATTGCGTCGGCGACCCATTTCGCGGTTAGGATGGCGAGCATAGACGGGATGGTGTATGAGAGCTGGCCTGTGAGTTCGAACATCTAGATGGGTTAGTCGACGATGACCACTGGCAGAAATTGGAGATGAAGGGACTTACGATGACAGCAAGGGAAATAGTCATCCGAGATACACCAGCCAGGAACGCAGCAGCACCCACCATGGCGAAGATGCCCGGACTGATTGAACCGATAGCCTGACCTACCAGCCTCCCAAAAAAGGCACCAGCATCTAGCGCTGGAATAATAACCCCAGACGGAACCTTGATCCCAAAAGTAATAGTAGTAAGAACAAGTTTAGCCAACGTCCCATACGTCAACCAACCCACATACTCCCAATCCGTCGTCCCGGCCTCCATAGCAACCTTCTCATTCCGACAAACCCAAGACGCACTCGACCTATCCTCCCCACAATCCACCAACAAATTCTTAATAATAACATCCCCCGGTTCCCTTGTCAACGGATTAGGATACTGAACCAACGCCGTCGCCAGCACCACCAACGCAACCTCCAACACTGGATACCTCTTAATAACGCCAAAAGCCCTGAACCACTTCGACCACAGGAAATTGAATTTGCAGAACAAGCCTCCGAAGATGCCGCCCGCTACACCCAAGAGGATGAAAACGAAGTAGTGAATAGCGTTGTACTCGTCCCCAAACCGCGATTCAAAAAGCACTAATTTGCCCGTGCCGGTTGGATTGAGTTCCTTAAGCACCATCGCCGCAGTAAGACTACACAAGAACGCCCTCCACAGCACTTTCCTAGGAAAGTACGTACTAATCTCCTCGTAACTAAACAGCACGCCTCCGATCGGCGCGCCGAACGCTACTGACAGTCCCGCTGAGCATGCCGCGCTGAGCAGCTCCCGCATCTTGCGGCCATTGGATGCGTATTTGGGTATCAAGCGGCCGGTTAGGTGGCCGATGCAGGTGGAGATGTGGACAAAGGGACCTTCTTTTCCTAGACAGAGGGATGAGGATACGGCGAAGATTGCGCCGAGGGATTTTACGATTAGCACGGGGAGGGAGAGGAGGGATGGGATGGAGAAACCGGAGAGGATGGTTTTTATTTCGGGGATGCCGGAGCCGGAGGCTAGGTACATTGTTTTGCCTTGGGCGGTTGGTGTGGTTGGTGGGCTTGAGGAGGGGGAGGTGGAAGACGTAGGATGGCCGTTGCTCGCATTTTTCGTTGGCTGGGAGGATGAGGTCGATGGGAGGGTAGACCGAGTCAACATGGTTAAACTCGAACTTATAATGCCGAAGGCCATCGCCATGGCCACGTAGATTGCAAAACTGCTCTTGTAATCATGGCTCCAGACTTTCCAGTCCGCACACTCTTCTGCCCCTTCGTTCGTCAACAACCCTATAAATGAACTCTTCTCAGCAGCGACGCAGCAATTCTCTCTGTTCCGCAAGAAATGGCCAGAGCAATATCCGATTTTCCAGTCCGAAACAGTCACGACGGCGACATCGACAAGGAAAGCGATACATGCCGTCAGTGCGCCGATTACCACGACAGCGAGCCAGCCCGAGGAAGCGTCGAGGAGGGTGATCAGTTTGTAGCGCAGACCAGGGTGGGAGTGGAGGGCGCGGTAGCGGTAGGAGTCTTTAACCTGGATTTGCGTTAGCAGACTTACAGAGGGTGGTTGAAATTGACGAGAGATGTTAGTACCAAGTCGTGTAGCCAGTCAATGGTGGTGTAATCATTATATGGTAGTCGTTCTCCAACTGGGCTTTCTGCTAACTGCTGTTCTTCTTTCGTCACCGTGGACGCGATGATTGAGGAAGCTTCTTCATCTTGTTCGTGTTGAAGATGGGATAGTCGGGCTTGGTGGAGGAGAGGAGTACGTTCGTGTCCGTTTTCTTCGTCAGAAGCCATGGCTGTAAATTTGAATGAGGTATCAAGGAGAGTAAACAGAAGACATCATTACGCGGATAACTGAGGTACATATCGAAAGCTTCTATGTGGCTTATCCAATGACGCAGACAAGCCTATCCCAAACGCACGCTTATCTGCCGCGGAAATAGATCTACTCGCAAAGCCTGGGGTAAACGTTGTGGGATGGGATGATTGCTGGGCTTGGCTGGGGGTGGTAGAGATAAGGAAAGCACGCTAGATGATTGGTGCGCAATGTCACTTCCTGTGCAACTACACCAACTCTCAATACTCGCGATTGCATTAGAATAAACCACAATCGCAGAAGAAGCATTGCAGTACTCTGAGAAACTACGTGGACATGTCTCTGTTACAGGAATCTTACCATTTCCAACCTTGAACCCACCGCCTTGAACCAGAACACCAGGTGGGGTCCAATATCCAGACTGAACATACACGGTATCATGGAGGCCCAAATCATGACTGACAAAGGAAATCGATGCGGCTCTGAGTAGAGAGGTGATGGAGAAGCAGTCGCTACAAGCGATTGCCGCTAGACGTATTATGCGGATGCCGCAGCGTTCTTCTGAGCAGCGTAGGCGTCTGTGTATTTCTATGGATATGTTAGAGCCTGTATCAACGTCGCATTTGTTATGCATACCTTCTTCTCAGCAGCGCCCAAAGACTTCCACTCCTGGGAGATGAGTTTCATAGCCTCGAGAGGGGAAATGTTCTTGAAGTCTCCGGAGGCAAACCTTTCTTTGACAAAGGCGGCATAGGCGGGTATCACTTTGTTCACATGACGCTCATCGACAAGCTTGGCAGTATGAGCAGGAGCCTTCTTCTTTTCACTCGCATAGATCCTCCGTAACTGGGCACGTGCGTTGTTCGCAATGCGGATCTGGTCGGGAGTGTAGGCCTTGAGCCATGCGTCGTATTCGGCTCTTCTAGCGACAGTCCTCTCGCTTGCGAGGTGGTTGTAGTGCTTCAGACAGTTAGTATAGTGCGATGCACTGTGAGGCGGACAGGGCTTACCTCAAGCTCAGCGGGGGTCAACTTCTGGAACTCGGCCGTAGCAGCCGGAAGTTGCCCAGTCTTTTGGCCCGGAACACCAGCCAGCTTTTCAGCTAAGAAGACATGGAGAGCAGACAATGACCTGCGGCTCACGGGTTCCTTGAGTGCCTTGGCGCGTAGCTCTCTGAGCTTGACCTTTTGTTGTTCTTCGGGCGTCAAGACCTTCTTGACGCGCTTCTTAGGCGCGGGCTTCTTCGCGGCCGGCTTCTTTGCCTTCTTCTTGGGCGCCGCCTTCTTTGCTGCGGGCTTCTTCTTGGGAGCCGCCTTCTTTGCTGTTGTGGCCGTCTTCTTGGGCGCAGGCTTCTTAGCGGCGGCTGTCTTGACCGCCTTCTTCACTGTCGCCGTGGGCTTGGTGGCGCGCGTAGTTGTAGCATACGACCGACGGTTCTGGAGGGCAGAGGCAAAGGCGCGTGAGAGGGCGCGCGCATGTGGGTGCTGGGCGGCATTGCGGGCGAGGAGGGCGCGGCCGAGGGTGCGGGCGAGCTGCGGCATGTCGTGTGGGGAGGCCCTGGGGGCGTCGGCTGCCAAGCGGCAGAGTGCGCCGGCCAGCATCGTGAGAATTCTTGGGCGTGTCGTCGGGGCGCGTGGTGGAGGAATTGACGAGCAGCGGCGCAGCTCTGGGCGGGCAATTGACGGGGTGTTTAGGCGTTGCAGCGTCGGCGGTGTAACGAGAGGTTGGGAGCTAGAGAGACTAGCAGGAACGTCATCTAAGGAGGGCGTAGTCAGGCACGCTCTGCAGAAGCATCCTCTACCCCACCATCGCGAAGTCACTGTGCCATCACCGTCGCCAATGTCAATGCGCCAGGGGCCACATATCTTTTTTCAAGCTACGGCCAGGTCTCATGTATATACAGTCTATTGCGCAAACATGCACGCTCAACACATCGCATTTATATCAACTACTTGCTTATATCACCTTGTAACTGTTGGCATGTTAGCGAATGATCTGCATGGTGACTGAAAAGCTCATACCTCCACGGGTGGTCCTCGTCGCCGTACTGGATGGCCTCCATCCAGTCCTTCATCTGCTGTGCAATTGGGCCGGCTTCGACGTGGTCTTCGAGCCCGCAGTCAACAAGCTGTCCCTTCCAGCTGATCTTGCGCACCGGAGCGACAATGGCAGCAGTGCCTGCACCGAAGATCTCCATCATGCGTCCCTCGTTGGCAGCGTCGGCCACCTCCTTCATGGTGAACTTGCGCTCCGATACGGTCCAGCCCTTGGGCACCAGACGTTCCCGCGCAAGCTCGAGGATTGAGTCTCGCGTTACTCCCTCAAGAATAGTTCCGTCGAGAGGCGCAGTGAGCAATTCTGGCTTTCCAGTCTCCTTGTTCTTGATAGCGGCAAACAGGTTCATGGTGCCGACCTCGGTGATGAACTCTTCCTCGCCAAACAGCCACAGATTCTGGTGGAATCCGCGGCTTGCAGCCTGCATCTGCGGGACGATGCAAGGTGCGTAGTTGGCACCAAGCTTCTTGTCTCCAACACCTCCAGGCCACGCGCGCACAGCGTAGTCTGTAGCCTCGAGCGAGATAGCCTTGAATCCGGTTGGGTAGTATGGGCCGACGGGGGAAGCGATCACGTAGAGTAGTGCAGACGCGGGAGGGCCGACGCCGAGGGTGCGCTGAGTGCCGATCATCGTCGGGCGCAGGTAGAGAGAGTAGCCTCGCGCACTGGTACGGTCAGAGTGTGTTTTAGCCAACAGAGGATTCGGACTGAACGTACTCGGGAACGAAACGCTCATCCTCCTTCACAAACTTGCCAATGAGCTCGATCAAAGCATCGGGGTCGAAAGTGGGCAACGCAATTCGCGCCGATGACTTGTTCAACCTGGCCATGTTCTTGTCCGGCCTGAACAGTCTGATGTTGCCGTTCTTGTCCTTGTAGGCCTTCATGCCCTCGAAGCACTCAAACGCATAGTGGAAGACGCACGTCGCGGGGTCGAGACTGAGGTTCTGGTAGGGGGTAATGCGTGCTGGCAGCCATCCTTCTGTTGCTGTCCATTCGAGCGATAGCATGTGATCTTGAGTACGTGTTAGATGTGAAGTTTGGTGCCATTGGAGCTGTTACCAGAGAAGTTGCGGCCAAAGACAAGTTCTTCATGCGGCAGCAGGTCTTTTGGCGTCGTCGTCTTGGTTATGGAGAGCTTGGTCGGGTCGATATCTTGTATCTTCTCGCCAACAGACTTGTCAGCACGAATGCTATAGGGTCGCTGGGTCCGACATCGCAGCGACGCACTGAGCGGTGCTACAGGCGAACGGAAGGCGCCACGGGACAGGCAAGAGAGCAATCGTGAAGACCGCTGCGGAAGCATTGTGAGGGATGCAGTGCAAGCGGAGAGGGTGGGGCGGGAGGAGAGTTGGTGCAGGTGGTGGATTCCAGAGTAATAATTATTTTGGGCTACAAGACCGAAGCTGACCGCAGCCTGGAGATATCGGACCTCGCGACACAGTCGCGACAGTCACCTCCGATCGCGCACTGCACCAGCCACCGAACAGGCAATCGTAGGGCGCGAACGACATCTGAATCATCGTCAGCGCGGATATCTGAGGTTATTCGCGTGCTTGGTATCTTGGCCGTTGCTGCATTCCCACTGCCCATGTGTGCTGCGTGCGCTCACGTCATGCAAGGCGGGAGACTAGAGGCGGCCCTGGCATCCATGGATCCTTCTCCACAGCTCGCGTGGGGGAACTAACATTTGGCTTCGTCTATCAATTGACTTTCGGGGCTCCGCCATCGTACCGACGAGTCTAGACATTGCGCGACTCCCTGGTGATTCTCCCAAGACATTTCGCGGAAAGAGCGACCCGAATGTCTTGATCCTCTCGGCAGTTCCAGCTGGCTGTCTCAGATCTCACGCGCATACCAACACTGCCCACGCCAAACATCACAGTCCATGACGCCCTCGCTCGACTCCCACAGTATCGCCGCGCGCGCGAATAGACCACCCGCACCATGTTTTCCAACGCCCTAAAGTCCTTCACTTCCAACATCTCGAGCAACTACACCCTCAGCCCCCAGCCCACGTCGTATTCAGGGCCATGGAAGATATACGACGCGAAGAAGAAGTCGACGGGGAAGGCGGCATCTGTCTTTGTGTTCGAGAAGAAGTCGTTGGAACCACCAGCTGGCGCAGGCTTCGGTGGACGCTCAGCGGCTTCGGGACTCAAACGCGCGCATGAGGAGGTCGTGGAGAGGCTCAAGAAAGAGGCCAGTTCTCTAGCTCGGTTACGGCATCCAAGTGTACTGGAGCTGGCTGAACCAGTCGAGGAGACTCGTGGCGGCGGCCTCATGTTGGCGACAGAACCCGTCACCGCATCGCTCGCTGGCTTGTTGCAAGAAAAAGACGAGCAGGAGAAGGCAGGCGGTGTTGGTGGACGCCGCAGCCGATACGTTATCGAAGAAGCCGATGGCCAGAAGCGAAGACGCGAGCTCGAAATCGACGAACTCGAGATACAGAAAGGGCTGTTACAAATCGCAAAGGGCTTAGAGTTTCTGCACGAGAGCGCTGGACTGGTGCATGCGAATTTGACCCCAGACGCCATCTTCATCAACGCTAAAGTAGGTAGCCACAATGCTACTCCATCTCTACCAACACTTTGCTGATCACCGTGACAGTCTGATTGGAAAATCTCAGGTCTTGGTTTCTCAACACCTCCAGAGAACTCGACGAAGCCCACCTCCGTTACGCCCATCTCGCTCTCAGAAGTCCTCAACTACGACGCTCGCCTGCCACGACACGTTCAGCTGAACATAGACTACTCTTCGCCCGACTTCGTCATGGACAACAACATAACTCCTGCGGCAGACATGTTCAGTCTGGGTATGCTCATCATTGCACTGTACAACTCGCCGCACAAGAGTCCGTTGGACTTCAATGGTAGTTCCTCTTCCTACAAGCGGGCGTTTTCTTCGTCTTCCTCGGTTCCAAGTAAGACGAACAACTTCATGTCTTCACAGCCGTTACCGCGAGACGTCGTCAACGGCGTTCTAGATCGCTTGATAACCCGGCGGCCGGCGTCGCGCATGGATGCACGAGAGTTTCAACAAGCACAGTACTTCGACAACATCTTAGTATCCACGATCCGCTTCCTTGACGGACTCCCTGGGAAGACACCCAATGAGAAATCACAATTCATGCGTGGTCTGCCGCGTATCTTGAACCAGTTTCCCAAGTCGGTACTTGACAAAAAGATACTACCTGCCCTACTCGAGGAGATGAAGGATCGGGAGCTTCTCACTCTGATACTTCAAAACGTCTTCAAGATCATCACTATGCTTCCATCTGGCAAGCGAGCATTTACCGAGAAGGTGATACCTAAGCTGCGAGAGACATTCTTGAGTGCCCCGGCTGCGAACCCGAAAGCCCCAGCTCAGGAGAGGGACAGCCTGAAAGAAGCTGGCCTTATGGTGCTTCTTGAGAACATGCAGATCGCTGCTGACAACTCGAGCGGTAAAGAGTTCAAAGATGATATCCTTCCAATCATTAACCATGCGCTCGAATCGCCTACTCATTCGCTAGTCGATGCAGCTCTGCGCACGCTGCCTATTGTTTTGCCGATACTAGACTTTTCAACTGTCAAGAACGAGCTGTTCCCTGTGATTGCCAGCATCTTTGCAAAGACCAGCAGTATGGGTATCAAGATTCGCGGTCTAGAGGCTTTCAAGACACTTTGTGGTGGAGGAAACGATCAGCAGGATGACTTTCAAAGTGATGGCCTTACTGGAGTGGTAGCAGCACCCAAGGCGAAGAGCTCGAATGTCTCAATTCTCGACAAGTACACTATTCAAGAGAAGATTGTACCGCTACTGCGTGCCATCAAGACGAAGGAGCCTGCCGTTATGGTACGTCAATACAAACGAACAAGCCATAAACAACCTGCTAACACATTGACAGATGGCAGCACTCGACGTCTTCAAGGCTATCAGCCACCAAGTTGACAGTGACTTCCTCGCTATGGATGTACTCCCCATCTTGTGGTCGTTCAGTTTAGGACCGCTGCTCAATCTGCAGCAGTTCCAAGCGTATATGAACCTCATCAAGACGACGTCTGCTCGTGTCGAAAACGAACAGACGCGCAAACTCCAAGAGCTCGGCGCGAACGGGTCCACAGCAACTACACGTAACGAGTTCATGTCCTTTGGCGGTCCATCGGCGACCAACGGCTTCGATACTAGCAACGGGAACGGAGACACGGATTTCGAAGCGCTTGTACGAGGAGGACAGCAAGGGTCATCGGGAGGCACAGACATGCTAGGTGGAGACCCATGGGCGAACGCATCCGCATCAGCTACATCCTCCACCATCCTCCCCTCGCGCCCATCCACCAACCGAACAAGATCCAACAACGCATCTCCCGCTCCAACCTTCTCGTGGTCCACGCCGCCCGTCTCCCCACCACCAAACACCAATCTCGGCGCCCCGAAACCACAGGGCAGGGCCATCACCCCAGACAACACACTAAACACGCTCAACTCCTCGTTTCCCGCTCTTAGCGCTGCAAACCCAGGCATCGGTAGCTCATCATTCACACAACAACAGGCAATCCGACCAGCCATGAGCATGAACAACATGGTATCGCCCACAACCACAACACCCTCCTACACAAACCCCACACAGAGCGGAGGCATCGACTGGAGCAAAGCAAGTGGTGGCACCTCCATGTCATCCTCAAACACTTGGGGCAACAACACAAACACAGCGAATTCGCTATCGAGTTTCCCTTCTATAGCTCCACCGCCCTCACAGTCACGCACGCAATCTCCTTATTCTTCGTTTAGCATTGCGCCTCCGCCGGCTAAGCCAGCGGGTACGGGGTCTTTTGGTATTGCGCCGCCGCCGATGGGGGGTCGGACGGCGAGTGCAGGGGGTGGGATGGGGATGGGGATGAATAGTATGGCGAGTTTGAGGGCGCAGACGCAGAGTCAGCAGCAGCAGCAGAACCAGCAACAGATGAATTGGGGTAGTGGAGGGGATAGTTTGATCTGAGAGGATTGTAGATGTGCGTGTGGATGTGGGAACGGAAAGAGTGGTCTTTTGTGGCGTATTAGCGGGCGTCCGGTTTTCTGGAGGTATGGTAGATCATGCGAGAGATGGTACAAGTGATACAAGGTATTCGCTAGAAAATATCGAACAAACGGATATCAAGCCGCTGTACACCTTCAACTGCCGCGTACGGGAAGCAGCCGGAAAACCATGTTCATTCTTGCGCGCCACCCTATTCCTTAGTCTGAAGACCGCGTGGTGGCTACTCGTACTCTAGACACGACAGCCCTTTTCTCCACGTATCTAGCCCATGTCCTACTCACGACTATGCTCGACGGCTCCAACGACTATCTCAAGAACCACGTGCCAGTGGCGTTTCAACGGCGCAACGCGTCATCATCAACTGGCTAATAGGGTACCACGGAATGAGCCGTCAACGGTTCTTTGCTTAAGCGCTTGGGTTACTTCGGGCAGATGTTAGTTTCTGACGGGTTGTTATGATGCAGAGGAGTTGTGTTGCAAGAATCAGTGAGCTATCCTTTCGTCCTTGGACGATAAGACGCAACCTTGGAAGCGTTCTCGGGTTTGTCGTTGGGTCCGTGTCCTTCGTAGGAGCTTCTGAAAGAGCGAGCGACTGCGGAGGAGACTGTGTTGTGAATGACCGAATCGATGTCTCGCACGCCGTGGAGCGAGCTGTTCTTGGCTTGTCGATTGGGTATTCGGTTGGGTTATGGACTCGAGCACCTCTTGTGGAAGTGATACACGGATAATATACGAGAGCTTCACTGAATCTGGGGTGTCTATCATGTCGCTCCCTTATCTCACCCGAGCGCAGCCTTCCGGTCTATATCAATAGTGTACGCGACTGTCCACGCGCACGAGGCAGGGTTTCCTCTCCAGCTGCCAAGTCGAGATCAGCAATGCGCATAAGCCATGCAGCGCCCAGGACAACAATATGGACGATCACGCAATCTTGCGTGCGCTTTCGCTCTCGCTACATAGTCGTAAGGCCAACCGTCTGGCAAATTCAGCGTCAAGACGTACGATGCTGCAGGGCATTGTTTCGGAGTACGATAGTCGGGAGCGTCCACGGCTGTCTAGATAGCGGATCCGTTCCCTGCAGGTCAATCACCCCTACAACGTGGCCGACACTGGTCCTTGCCGTTTCCCTTGCGATATTGAGTTAAATCCGATTAGACGGGTAGAACTTCCGAGAGAGTCCCATATTTTGCACGCGACACGGCGTTTGTGTGGCCAGTCGAGATAAGCAAAATCGGAAGGATCAGATGCTGGGTGCTGTGCATTGGCGAGGCTTGGAGGTGGTATTTCGCCCGCGTTATGGCGTAAGCTAAGCAAGCCAAGCCAGGCTTACCGGTGGTGGGATTGAGCTTAGCAATGGAGCTTAGCGGGCGCCACAGTGATGTCAAGCCTGGGAACCTGACTTTTGAGCCAGTACAACGGTGTGCCGATATGAAGAGGGTGTGACAGATACGCAGGAATGCGGCATCGCAACAGCGCCACCGGTCTGGCTATCTCGAGGATTTGACGATTGACGTAATGAGTCTTCGACAAACGACCTGGTATATGGCCAGACTCTCCACGTGCGCGACAGTGAAATGGCAGATCTGTGCCGTTGAAGCGGTAGCGATGCGTCGGACGTCACGCTCGCCCGGTACTAGTCGACTAATGCGATCAAAGCACACGGAGCGGCACTCGCGGCGCCAGGGCAGAGGATTTCACTGAGATTTCATAGCGTGAGGGCGGGAAAAGATGAGAGTGCTGCGGTCATAGCGCGGCGAACGGCTGGTGTTTGTGCGAGTCTTCATAGGTGCGCTCAAACTCGGTAGGCGCCACCAGGCAAAAGCAGTCCCCACTCTTGCGCCTTCCCTGTTCGCCTTCACCGAACTCTCCTCTGCCCCCGCAAGTTTTGGACTAGCCATCCCAGCACCCTAGCTTACGCTCCTCCACTGCTCAACTCCCTGCACCCGCTATCACCTTGCCCCCGCGCATATTTAACGATCTTCCTGCCGCCTCTCCATCGTTTGCCCAACCCACTCCGACACTCCCCTGCCCGGATTTTGAACACGCAATTAATGCTCCCAGAAGCGGCTAACCGTCGTTCTTCCTACTACACTCCTTACAAGAAGTGTATCCGTTGCGTAAAATGGCGTTGAAGTCTCTCTTCGGCGGCAAGGCCTCGCCCGCCGACAACAACAGCCAAAGCAGTAATGAAAAGGTCGCCTTCGAGAAAGAGAAGGGCTACGACGCCGAAGCCCAAGGAGGAATTCTACCTACATCCACCGACGCCGACTCTGACGCTAGCATCACCATTGGCAGGCAGATTGAACTGGAAGCCAACAATGCTATCAAGTACCGTACTTGCAGCTGGCCAAAGACCGCGGCTCTGTTGTTCTCCGAGTACATTTGCCTGGCTATCATGTCTTTCCCCTGGTCCTACTCAATCCTCGGTCTCGTTCCAGGCTTGATCTTGACCTTCGTCATTGCCGGTCTCGTCCTGTACACGTCTCTGACCACCTGGTACGCGCACTCAATATCTCATACGCAAACGCCATACTTACACGATCTAGGGAATTCTGCATGCGCCATCCCCAGATTCGCGACGTCTGTGACATTGGTCAGATGCTCTTCTGGAACAAGAAATGGGCCTTTTACGCCACAGCAGTCATGTTTGTCCTGAACAGTAAGCGACCGTCCCTGCCAACATGCAGCAACCAGTACTAACTTTTCCCGAGATGTTTTCATCATGGGTCTGCACTGCCTCGTCGGAGCCAAATGGTGGAACACTATCACTGGACACGGTACCTGCACTATCGCCTTCGCGGCGATCACTGCCATTATCTCGTTCGCGGCTTCGCTTCCGCGAACTTTCAGCACCCTCGCTACGCTGGCGACTGCCTCCGCAGGATTCACTTTCATCTCCGTCATCCTCGCGGCAGCATTCTCCGGTGTTGACGGAAAGCCCGCAGGCTATGACCCCGCTGATCCTCTCAAGGTCTACGCTATACCCCCAGCTGGAACCACTTTCGTCATGGGCATGAGTGCTTTCATGAACATTAGCTATACCTTCATTGGTCAAATCACCCTCCCCAGTTTCATCGCCGAGATGAAGGATCCCAAGGACTTCCCCAAGGCGCTCTGGGCCGTCACCATCTGCGAGGTTCTCGTCTTCAGTCTTGTCGGAGGTGTTGTGTACGGTTACACCGGTACCAACTACATGACTTCCCCGGCCTTTGGCTCCATCTCCAACGAGGTCTATAAGAAGGTATCCTTCACCTTTATGGTGCCCACAATCATCTTCCTCGGTGTTTTGTATGCTTCCGTAACAGCCCGCTTTGTCTTGTTCCGCATCTACGGATCTCAGTCCCGACACAGGACAGGTCACACTATGGCTGGATGGCTCACATGGATCGCAATCCTCGCTGTGCTATGGGTCTTCGCCTTCATCATCGCCGAGGTCATTCCATTCTTTTCCGACCTGCTCTCGCTTATGAGTTCGCTGTTCGACTCGTTCTTCGGATTCATCTTCTGGGGCGTAGCGTACTTCCGTCTTCGCAGAGAGGCGCATGGACCAAACTTCTGGAAGGTCCGCGGTTGGAAGGGATATGCCGGGTTCTTCTTCAACATCGCACTTTGCCTCATTGGCCTGTTGTTCCTGACTGCGGGCACATACGCGACTGTCCAGTCTATTATTGATGGCTACAAGGCCGATGGTTTTGGTGGACCTTTCACGTGCACCGACAACGGTTTGTAGACGTTGAGGTCATTGGAGGTTGTTGGTCACGACCGCACTGCGTAGGATTTAGAAGTATCTTGGCTGTGATGAATAACAGCGAGTCTGCCGGGCCTGTTGAACTTGGTCGGAAATACACGGTTAATTAGGGCGTTCTTTGAATTTCTCATCATTAAGAGACATGGTATACCCCGCAGGGAAGGCTGCAGAACACGAACGCATCATGATAGAGATCAGAGCTGTGTCATCAATAAAAGTTGAAACAACACAATCGTACACGAACACATTGCCGTTAGCCGAGAATGCGTGAGGCGCTCTTTCCGCGAGTGCTGAACATGCGGATTAGCGAGACGTCATAGCTCCACATGTTCATCTGCCGGGCAAGCTGTCAACACCTAGGCATCTCCCCACAGCTTTCGCATGTTGGAACTCACGCTCTTACACTGACTGCTGTCGCAATTTGATGCTTTGTAGCTTACCAGCACTTTCTCACGACAATGACCTCGTATATTGACTTCAGCAAGCCCAGTTTGTGGGGTAAGTGCCAACATCCAGATCCCCGCAGCCGCGGATGCGACAGCTAACATGTGGCAGTGTCTGCCGCGAGCATCGTGTTCAACCCTACGTTCTGGAAGTAAGTGGAATCACTCATCCTCATTTACATATACTAACGGAGCTTTAGCATCGCTGCGCAGCAAGGTACACAACCTCACCATTGCTTTTTACGGCTATAGCCGAGCCTCGGGAGGCTTCTGGGTGTCGTAGAACAGAAGACGGAACCGAGGAAGGCTAACACAGTTCAGAATATCACAACAAAGTCATCACGAAGCTCTTCGGTGGTAACCCTCGCCTTGGATGCTATGCGCTCGCCGTAACCATCTTCTCCCTGGGTATCTTCCGAGACTACCTGTACGTACAAGGCTACCACCGTCTCCAGACGTGAACCTTTGCCCGAGCGAGTCGATATACTGACTGCTTGTTCACAGTTACAATGAAGCTCTCGCCGACCAACCCACGCACCCAACCCTCCTAGCCCCCGCCATCAAGTACTCCGCGATCCCCCTCTTCGCTATGGGAAATACCCTCGTCCTGACCTCCATGTGGGCCCTCGGTGTCACCGGAACCTACCTCGGAGACTACTTCGGCATCCTCATGGACGAGCCCGTGACAACCTTCCCCTTCAACGTCTCCAGCTCTCCCATGTACCACGGCTCAGCCATGTCCTTCTTGGCCACGGCGATCTGGTACGGAA